GGAAGGAAATAAAAGAAAGGGAGGGAAAGGAACTAGAATAAAAGAAGAATAACTACAGGAAGAGAAGGAATATTCCTCTATGGAAAGAGAATTAAGAAATAGATTAATCTCTCAGAGGGCAAATGGAAAGTGGAAATAAGAAAACAGAACATCTGCCTGCTGTTGGAAGTGTGGTTACAGTAATGAAACTTATTTTCACCAATGGTGGACCTGCCCGCAGGCGGTTAAATATTGGAAAAAAATATGGCAATGGATTTTGGAAATTACACAGATTAATTTGGAATTAAGGCCCGAGATTTTCCTATTGGGGGCAAAACTTTTGAATGTTAAATCAGATATATGGTTCTTGTTGATTCACATTATTACTGCAGCAAGATTAGCGTATGCGCAGGAGTGGAAAAATCAATACTTACCGATGGATTTGAAAATAATATATAAAATTAATGAGTGTGCGGAATCAGATAGATTAACTAGATTGATCAATGGTAAAAAAGTTTCAGAATTTTATAACAGTTGGAAATTATGGTACGATTGGGTCCAGAAAAGGTGGGATAGAATAGCTATATGATGATGTATATATATGATAGCAAATATGTATGTATAAAGGAATGACTTTATATTTATGGACAATGTAATCACATTATACCATGGTGGCAGAATTGTATATTTTATTTGTGTATTGGTGTATAGAATATATTAATAAAAATTATATATATAAAAAAAGAAAACAGAATGGGAAAACTCATTGGAACATAATGCAAAGAATTATGCTACAGAATGACACAGAAAAGTGTGAAGATATATTAATGCACAGTATGAAAAAAATTGTTTTATGAAATAATCAGATGAAAGATCTTGAGGATAAGAAAGAAGGCATTTTAAAAATGGTTGCAAAAAAGGATGAAAGGTTTTGTTCTTAAAGAAGAAGATAGTTGCAAAGAATGCACTCAGAGTGAAGAGGAAATTACTAAAATGAAGAGATAGAGAATGTGCAGAGCAATTTTGATAGATATAAAACATTTTTTAGAAGTGAAGGAAGAAGAGAGAAGGAGTCTCCAGCAGAGTGAATGATATTAAAAATAAAAATGATGAAATCATTTAGTAAAAGATGTATACGATCTGAAGAGCAACCAGAGTCATTTGGGATGAGAAACTGTTGGAAAAATATTTTAGATCTCTTTATAGGAATGATAGTGATATATGAAAGAGTTGAAATCATGAAAAGAAAGCCATAAATGCTGTGAAAAGGTTGAAAATGGTCAGGATGTAAGTACCCTGTTTTCCCGAAAATAAAACATCCTCTGATAATAAGCCCAATCGGGCTTTTGAGCGCGTGCACTAAAATAAGGCTCCCCCCGAAAATAAGTCCTTCCCAAAAATATTTAAACACAGAGCTGGAAATCAGGTAAGACAGCAAGAGGAGCACCATCTTGCTACATACACCCCAAAATAATAAGACCTCCCCGAAAATAAGGCTAAGCGTGTCACTGCGTTAAGTGTTTGCCAGCTGAGCTCCCATTCTAAGACTTATGGTAGCCTGGACAGGGAATTTATCTGTAGCTGAGATAAGGCTGGTCTTGTAAGATATTGGACTACTGCACGTCTGCATTCTTTCTTTCTAACTTCCTGATTCTTCCTTTGTCCGTCTCTGAGATAACTGCCGTAAGATGTAGTTGTCTAGTTTTGTACTTTTATAATAAAATGTTTCTTAGAATATATACTTCGGGTTTTCTTTCTTTGAGAGTATACACCATGGAAAACAAAATCCATTCACCTCGAATTAATTACAGTTTCCCCAGGGGGGGAACAAAGCTGATTCACACTTCGACAAAGCGTTTATTTTGGGGTTAAAAAAAATATAAAACAGGGTCTTATTTTTGGGAAAACACGGTATAGACAATTTTAACTATCTAAAAGAGTCAGTTTGCTGTAATGGAGAAGATACTGGCTTAGAAGCCAGGAGACTGTGAGTTCTTGTTCCACCTTGGGCATGAAAGACAGATGAGATAAAAATATTGTAACAATTTAGGAAATTTTAAATGTGGATGTATCTTGCACCTGGAAAGGTTATGGACTTGTTTAACACTAGCATTAAGACTTTAACTGTCTGATGATTGGAAGAAAACTGATATTGTTAATGTAAAAAGGGAAAAAATAGCCAAAGAAAATGCAAAAAGGATAGGGGAATTAATCTGTTTAAATGTGCCTGGAAAGGCGTTTGGTTGAATTCTGATGAGAAGGATAGATGAGGTGACATTAGCTCAATTTAGAAAGTGTTGGACAACAGATATGCTGATCAGCAGGTCATTGAAAAAACTTATCAAAGTGAGAAAGTTTATTGTCTATTGCTTTTAAAAAAGTGTGACTAAGTAAATAGGCTTGATTAAGACATTGTTTTCCATGAATATAAATGCATTGTCGGATGTATTCAGAATTAAATGGTTAGCCCCAGAGGTTAAATGTAAAATCTGTTACTACCGGTTCTGTGGGCGTGGCTTGGTGGAGGGGGTAATGTGACTGGGTGGGCGTGGCCAACTTTAAAAAAAAAAACTTTTCAAAACATTTTTTCTAATGCTTTGAAAAGCCCCTCTACTGATCAGGAACTCATCTGGGATCGTTAGAGAGATTTTTTAAAAAAATGCCTCTCTGTCGATCAGGGAACTCAGCTGGGATCGTCAGAGACTTTTCAAAGCATTTTTTTTATCACCTCTTCGGCCAAGAGGTTGCAGAAAACAATGCTTTGAAAAGCCTCTGATGATCCCAGCTGAGCCGCGCGATCATCAGAGGCTTGTTTTTTACTTTTAAAAGCATTTTTTCATCAGAAAAGGTTGTAGAAAAAATGCTTTTAAAAGTAAAAAAAAAAGCCTCTGATGATTGTGCGGCTCAGCTGGACATGTGGGGGGGTGCGCAGGGATTTTTGCTACTGGTTCTCCGAACCACCCGCCGCCATCGCTACCGGATCGAGTGATCCGGTCCGAACCGGGAGCATTTCACCCCTGGTTAGCCCTAGTGAGATTTAAGATAAAAAGGAGTGACACTTCCTTGGTTGTCCAGTATATATTAGGAACGCTGATGATTAAAACAAATTTGTTGAGGATGTGAACTTAACACAGAAGGAGCCTTGCCACTGTTGAAGACAATGGAGAAACGGATAAGAAAATATCTCTGAAACGAAGAGCAAATGGGTCATGGGGTTATCTAGTCTTCTAGATAGAAAGGATTGCTAAAACTTGTTCCTTTAAATATTTCATTTGAAATGTTTATCAAGTAAATGTGGCATAACCAAATTCATAGTTAGTGTGTTCCCATTCCCTCCCCACTCCAGGGGAAGGATACTGCAAAATCCCCATTCCCTTCCCACTCTGGGGCCAGTCAGAGGTGGTATTTGCCGGTTTTCCAAACTGCTCAAAATTTCCACTACTGGTTCTCCAGAACCTGTCAAAACCTGCTGGATTTCATCCCTGTACTATGGTCATTATTTTTCCCAGAACATTTGAAACAGAAACGGGGACAAATTTCAAAATAATCAAGAAAAGAAAAAAAAAATGACTTGAATGAAGCTATGAGAAGCTTTTACCTACAGTTACATATAACTGTCCCAGTGCTCATAGAACTGCATATACCGTACTCTCCCAAGGGCCCCCATTGTTATGTTCCATTTAATGGTATCTATATTATTTAACTTATTTGTCTATTATATTTATATACCACCAAATGGGAGTGAGTCAATGTCACCAAATGCTTTATAGTGCAATACAATTGCAATACAATAAAATGCAACTGAAATATAGTCACTTGCTGCTCCTGAGCCAAACGTCTTCTGGACTATGGACTTTGGAGTGGAAAAAAGTCAGCCAGCCCCACATTGTTGGCAAGACTCAGGAAAGCAAGAACAATGTAAATGTCATTAATGTTGTGACCTAGGCTAACTGAGTCATTACAAGACACAATTCCTCCCAAACAAACCTATTTTATTGTAATGGCTGAGAATTATGTTCATTCCCAACCGAGTCCCAATTAGTTGCAAAACAAGTCTTTCAGAAGAAGTCCTTCAGGATAATCACCAACCTTTGTCTTTGACACTCTGCCAAAGGCGTTACGTTCAGAAACAAACAAGAGATGCCAACTGGAAACAGAGTTAGCAACGTTGCTTTCCTGCAAAAAGCCCCAAGTGCCTTTGTTTCTCTTTTAAGCCTTATGGGAGGGGCCAATCATCTCCTGACCTTACTCCTGAGTCGTCCCTTTTGCTTTAGCTGCTCTTACCTTCTGGTAGCTCTGTGCATGCGGGCACTAGGAAGAGGCTCCTCCTGTTACTCTGCCTCTCTGCTCTCCGACTCTGGGGTCTCCGGAGTCCATGCATCACCCCCAGATGGCCCTAGCCCCATCTCTGCCTCCTATGCAGAGCCCTTGTCTGGGCCTTCCCCAGACTCGAGGATTGGCCCATGTTCCTCCCCAGCCTCCTCACTGTCCAAGTCCACTGCCAGTTCCGCAGGCTGCTGGCAGACCACAACAATTAACATCTTTTAAAGCTAGTTTCAAATAAATAGAAAATTTTGGATCCTAGAATTGGAATTTCCCAATTTCAGTTTTAGGCAGTCTCTTGGAAGCATTTATCCCCAGATCTCTCAGCACTTCAGCACCCTTTTCTGAGATAGGCATTCATCTGACTCACCTCCAACTTTCTCACAAACTTACTTAGCATCATATGGGATATCATCACCCATATATCTCTGGAAAAGACCATCATGTACATTCAGTCCAGAGTGTGACATGTGATCTAGGCCAGGCTTTCTTATTTGATTCAAGAAGAAATGGATTCTGTGTTACGTTTCCTCTCTTAAATTGCTCCACAACACTAACTTCCATGATGGTTTTGGCAGAAAGGCCTTGAAAATGTTTTGTATGTTGACCAAGCTTGGGCATGGAGAATGTTGAGTTCAGGCTGACATTTGTTATTTGTTATTTTTGGCTGAACTAACCTTTCTTGTTTTGGTTTTCAGCCGATGATGCCTGCGGTGGGACACTTCGAGGGCAGAGTGGAATAATTTCAACCCCCCATTATCCTTTGGAGTACAACAACAATGCTGACTGCACATGGACGATTTTAGCAGAGCCTGGAGACACCATAGCTCTGGTTTTCTTGGATTTCCAATTGGAGGATGAATATGATTTTTTAGAGGTCACTGGAACGGAGGGATCCTCTTTATGGTAAGCATCTGCTGTGCTTTTTTAGATCAGTGTGGATCATTTGTTCCCTTTGGTACTATGTCTTGCAAGTGGCGGTTTGCAACTGATCAGAACTGCCTAAATAAAGAATAGGGACTGCTAATGCCTTTAAAATGTTCCATTAACATTCAATGAAAATGCCACTCTTCATCCCACAATCAGGATTTTCTCTTTATCATCTCTATCTAGATCTATCTATCTATCTATCTATCTATCTATCTATCTATCTATCTATCTATCTATCTATCTATCTATCTATCTATCTTCTACAATGAATGTATTAAAAATTTTTTAACTCATACGAAGAAATAAAATAAACTGTCATGAATGTAAAAGTCTGTAACTTTGGGGCTTGGCATAATACATGTGACTATCATAAAATTAATTTCTATTTTTTTATGAGAGCTGTAGTGAAATTGTTAGAGCTGGAGGGAATTCCACCGCCATTGAGCAAATCGATTTCCTTGATTATTGCACAACTGCCCAGAGTTCCTAAAAGTGGCCTATACATTTAATATATTGTTATTGTTACTGTTCTGACTGTGGCCTTTTGCCTCTATTTTGTTTTTGTTGATTGAAGGGCATCTGTACTGCCTTTATATTAAAGAGAACCCATTGGTGGTTTTTTTTTATTATTATTATTTCAAAATGAGATGTATCAACAATGGTGTAGTCATGAAACTTTTCTAGCTTGGTGATTTGTATTGATTTGATATTGTTGGGAGAATTGTGTTATCAAAATATAAAGTAAGCTAAATGAACTTTTGAAGAAAAACTCACACTAGTAAGGTGACCAATTGTCCTTCTTTTGTAAGTTCTGTCCTCTCTTGAAAGTGTCCTCCTACATGTCCTCCTTTTCGATATTTGAAGACTAATCTGTAAATCTCCGATCGATGCCGATCCAATTCGTTGCGTGTGATGTGACGTATTTGTATTTGATATGATGATTCATCAAGGCTCAGTACAGTGCAGTGAGACGCAATTATGAGACGCATGCGCTCCGTACAGGAGAATTGTTTTGAGCGAGTGCGCCGTGTGCAAGTGGCTTTGTTTACTTCTTACCAAAACACAACACGGCACACACGCACACATTAGACTCATTGTTGCAATGAATAAAATGTTTCTTTTATTTACAATATTTTTTTTCTTCAATTTATTTATGTCCTCCTTCTCATTGTAAAAAAGTTGGTCACCTTAACACTAGACAATTCTAGTCCCTGTTTCAGGGAAGTAAGATAAAAAAGAACAGATGTCTGTAATGAATTTATCTTGGTTCCACAGTAGGTTCTGGTTTTATGCACTCCATTTTGGTTTTTGTTGGTTGGTTGAGCATTTTTGAATGTTTATTTAAGGCAGAGATGCATTTTTTTTAAAAAAAAACCTATCAATGGACAAATAATTAATTAAGTTATACAATTACTAAACTTATTTTGAATGTTAAAAGTCTCCAAACAGAGAACAAGTTATAAGTATTATACATTTTAGAACCTGATGTCAAAATCCCCACTATATTATTATTTATAAGATTAAAAAAGAAAAAGAAAGAAAAAGACCCCTAGATAATAAAGCTAAATATTTGGTTTCTGACTTCCCCCTTCTTTGTAATCCAACCAACTTCCAGTTTCCTTTTGTGTAAACATTAGAAACCATCCTCTTTGAATTTACCTTGCTGCATAGTATAGTTCCATGATGGCCAACCTATGGCACGCATGCCACAGGTGGCACGCAGAGCCATATCTGTGGGCACTCGAGCGTTGCCCTAGCTCAGCTCCAGTGCGCATGCGCACACCAGCCACCTGATTTTTGGGCCTTCCGGGCCTACTGGAAGTCAGGAAATGGGCCGTTTCCGGCCACCAGAGGGCCTCCGGAGTGGATGAGGAAGGCCGTTTTCACCCTCTCCAGGCTCCAAGAAAGCCTCTGGAGCCTGGGGAAGGTGAAAAATGGGCCTACCGGGCCCACTGTGCCATTGCGTGCCAAAAGCGGGGGGTCGCATGTGCATACATGGGGGGCAGGGCACATTGAATTATGGGTGTGGGCACGTGTGACCCCGCTGCACTCCCCCCACTTTTGGCATGCAGCAGCAAAAAGGTTAGCCATCACTGGTATAGATGGTTGCTTAATATCCAACTGTTAATTCCAGTTTGTTATAGAAACCATAATTGTCTGGGATCACGTTAACCCGTGAATAGTAGCCTATTCAAAGAATAGTGGCTTAGTTCACCCATAACGAAATAAAATCTCCTCACCACTCAAATCATATTGTGGTTTAATGCAATGTGTGGATTTAGACGGAGACAAGTAAAATGGGCAGTGATATTAATTATGTGATCCTTTTAATTAGTTATTTTAGCCAGACCTTTCCCACATGCTAGACTCTTTATCAAGCCGTCTGTTTGGAGTTCGAATCTCACCGGCTCAAGGTTGACTCAGCCTTCCATCCATCTGAGGTCAGTAAAATGAGGACCAAAATTGTTGGGGGCAATATGCCGATTCTGTAAACTGCTTAGAGAGGGCTGTAAAGCACAGTGAAGTGGTATATAAGTCTAAGTGCTATTGCTATTTAGACTACTGCCATTTTAGGAACTTCTATTGAAGATAGAATGCAAGTTCACCAGATACGAAGTTATCTATGCAGGTGGTGTGGTTAGCACTTTGTGATCTTTTTCTCCTTCTCCTTTTCTTTTTCTCTCTTTGCTTGCCGTGTTACAACTCATTGATGCTAAAAAATACCCAGAATTAAAAAGGCATAGCCATTCATGCAAGAATCTTAAAATGACCTAGGCGCCATAAGCTTAGTACAGCATAAATCAATCTCTTTCTTTAATTACACTTTCATTGCTTTTCTGTGACAAAACATTATCAGCAGTGAGAAACCATATCTCACATTTGGAGTATAGGTGCCCTCAGCTTGCCCACCTTCCAAAAGCAGAATGAAACTAATAATGCTGCTTAAATTGTCATTCTTGGTTGATTTGTTCTTGGCAACGTGTTAGTCCTACCTTGAAAATATTATCTACGTTTCTCCATTGAGAGTGGAGACAGCAGCCAGGATGGGTAGCAGCAGCCAATCAGCATGAAGGACTGAGTCTATCAATAATATCAAGTCCCGCCCTTGTTGCCGGGCAGACCCGCTTTAGACTCAGTCCTTCAGCTTGATTAGGTGTGTGGGTCTTTAGCTCTTACCCTTTCTGGCTATTTAGCTCTGTTTATTTGGATATTTCTGGTTTTTGACTTCGGATTCCTCAACTGCAATTTATTGGCTTCCTCCCTGATCGGTTTACTGAATTTCGGACTGTTGACAACGCTTTATTCTGGTATAGTTAAATTTGTGTATCCTCCTCCTCATGGGCCGTTTTTTCATTTCCCTATCGCCCCTGGCGGGGGGGGGCGATTGTTTTTTCTGCTGGCAGTGCGGCGCTGAGCTAATTTCTTAGATCTGCTTCGTTTGGGTTTTTTTTTTTTTTTTTGCCTCCGTTTGACTCTGACCGGCTCGGATTGCCTGCTTCAAGTTGCGGCGGCCATTTTGTTTCAAATTGCTTGCTTGCCGCCCTTTGCAGAGTTGGGATTTGTGAGCGGCCATTTTGTTTGCCCTCAAGACTTTGGCTTCGTTGTGAGGGCGGCGGCCATTTTGGAGGCTATTTCTTCGCTCGTGTTCAAAGCCTCATTACCATCGGAGATATCTCTGCCCTTAGAAGGGAATTGCTTCAAGTTTTCAGCGGCGGCCATTTTGTTGCCTATTTCATCATTAATCCAGCCCTGCCTTGGTTACTCTAAGAACTCTGAGCTGTCTTCAGCCCTGTCTGCTCCCCTCTCTGACAAACAGCACCACCTTCTACAAATTTCAAATGTTTCAGCACTATTTGAACTTTGATTCTCCTTGATAACTGTCACCTGGAGGCTCCTGACATATTTTAACATTGCCCTACTGTCTGCTCTGTTGTACTTACAGCCTTGTCACCCAAAATAGCAGGCTTTGTGGAGCTTTTACGCCCCCTGCCTCATCTGGATTGTGCTATTTCAAGGGACTGCTTAGTGGGGTCTAGCGCCCCCATTTCATTATTGAACAGCACATTTAATCTTGTGGACTTGTAATTATTTCCTGTGCTCCCTTGGGGTGATTTCTGCCAGCATTATGCCTAAAACACTTGCAAAGTCCAAACACGGCCGCAGAGCCGGTACATCTGGCACTCACAGCTCAGACTCCCTGTCTGTTGCGCAATCATTGACTCGGGAGGCCTCTCAGGAGCCATCCCCAGTCTCACATGCACCTGGCGCCTGTTCCAGGCCTGATAAGTATGGCACTATATCCAAGGCTGAGAAAAGGAGGGACAGAGTTTTAAAGAAATTGTGTGATAAAGCCTCTGCTAACCTCCATGGTTCTGGCAATCAGGCATCTTTAACGAGCGAGATTCCAAACCCAGCTCCTGCCCCTCGCTCCATCACTCCAGATCAGATGTCACTACAGGATTGCCCCGTGACTATTTCTACTACTGATCTTTGGGGAGTTGGTGCCTCCTCCCAACCTATTTCCTCACAACCAACGCCTTTGCAAGATTCTTCTTTGCCTGGTCCCCCGGCTTCTTCTGCTTCTGTGCCTCCATCCTTGCCTCCTCCTCCTACAGCTCCTGAGGCCCAGCTGATGTCTGGTCAGATCCCTGGCCAGCTTTCACCGGAACAGATTCAACGTATGATTGAGGCTGCGGTGCAGAGGTCCCTGGCTGCCCGTTCCTGTGTTTCCAGCCACGCAGGATCAGTGAGGTCGGTTTCTCCGGATTCTCCGGAACGCCCTTCCTCTGAGAGGGCCCATCACAGAATTCCTGGCTCCCCTTCCTGTTCCCACTCTAGTCATCTTTTGACTGTGACGGATGCTGAGCTCAGCGACTCGGGCCTCTCCGACGATGAAAACCTTCCACCGGACGAGCCTGCCTTCACGGGGTTGTTCCCGCAGTCATTATTCAAATCATTATTGTTTAAAGCTGTTT